GGGCAGCTGATTTTCAATGAAATGCGCATATATTTCTCTATTTAATCGATGCGGGAGAATATAGGGATTGATCTAAACATTGTTGAAAAAATGTTATTTGAAAAAACTGCAAGAAAAAGTAACCAAGAGATTTATTTACTTCATAAACTTATTACTTACGACTTGGTCTGCTATTACTCCAGCCCATACGTTAAGTGCGTAACGATATTGAAACGCGCCTTGCAGAACGGCGTGTGGGTTCTCTTCATCCCACAATAAAAAATTGCGAGAATTAAACACGCCGTTCGGAGTGAAGGTTGCTTCGTCCGTCCACAGGATGCGGTCGGGAAAAAGAGGATTCTGCCAACACTGCGCGAGAAATCCTGTTTCATCGATGATAAATAAGTATAAAAATAAAGTTTTAAATGACAACAATACAATTATCTTCACAAAAATAGACGCGTTGTTCCTCATCTCCCGGAAATAGTTGTTGAACTTTCTAATAATGAAATGGACGTAGTCCATTATATCGCAGACATCGGTGCACCGAAGATTTCGAGACACCGAGCGCACGGCGCACGCTGCTTCCAGGATTTTCTTCATAATGTCTCAAAATCCTTTCTTCCTCGTTAACAGGAATGCGCATTTGTAGCGCACCAGCATAGTGATGATGCGGTAATACGCAACCTGTTTCTCGCGCACGTTCCACACATCGTAATATGACATTCGATGTCGGATGTCTCTCACAACCGGAAAATTGCTCCGCGTGAAGCAGAGCCGCAGCAAGAGCAGAGGAAGTGCTCTAGTCTAGTCTTAATCGAAAAAAAACTATAAATGTAGTGACAATAAATTTTAGAAATAAAAATGCAAACAAACGATAAAATATTTATAATGTAGTGTTATAAGAAACAATACAAAGAAAACGACGATCTTGGAGATCATGACGATCATTCCGAGACAGAAGAGTTTGATGTAAACAATTTTACAATAATATTACATTTCCTTAACATAATATTATTGTAAACATATTTGCATCAAACTNTTTTGTCTCAGATTGATGGTCATTTTAAAGCTCGTCACTTTATTTACATTAGTTCTCATAACAGTGCATTATAAATATTTTATCGTTTATTTACATATAATTTTTTACTAAAATTTATTGTCAATTTATGTATAGTTATTTATAGTTTTTCTTCAACTAAAGAAGACATGAAAAAAAATTAAAATGTTTTGATTACTACATTACATTAATATTATTGCACAACCTTTTGACATTAAAAGTATTTATTTTGAGTAAAACAGCGCTGTAATACCAATAATGAGCTTTTTAAATTGATAAAAAACAATAAAGTAAGATAATCTTGGGTTTGTATAAGGTTAATCAATGCTTAGAAAGTTTTCTACAAATGCGAAATATCGATAGCAAAATGTAATACAATGATATTAATGTAATGTAATAAGCAAAAACGTTAAGACTTTTATTTAAGTCTTCTTTAGTTGAAGAAAAATTATAAATGAAATAAAAATAGATTCTAGTGAAGAAAAGTATGCAAACGATAAAATATTAATAATGTAATGTTATAAGGACTAATATAAAACAACAAGCCTTAAAATAACGATTATTCCGAGACACACAAGTTTGATGCAAATAATTTCACAATAATATTATTTTTTTTAACACCATATTATATTGTGTGAAAATATTTGTATCTAACTCTTCTGTCTCAGATTGATCGTTACTCCAAGGCTTATCGTTCATTAACAATGTTCTTTACAACATTATTTTATAAATATTTTATAGTTTGTTTGCATACATTTCGCTACTGAAATTTATTGTCAATTCATTTATAAGTTTTCTGTAACTAAAGAGAACTTTCTTTTATTCTGTAAAAAAACAAAATATAAAAAAAGAAAAAAGAAAGAAAACCAGTGCAGCAACAATATTAATAATTAATAACTTCCAATTATTTATTTTCTTTGTGAGATTCTTTCCGTAAATATTTATAACACATTTGAGACCGACGCTCCATAAAAATAAAACTAAAAATCTATCCTTTCCAGCAATTCTTTGTTTAAGAAATTCTTAGTATAAAGATATCATAACCCATATTTCGAGTCATCGATCTCAAATGTTTCAGTATCGAGATGTTGCTATTGAATATTTATTTATTTATTTATGTATTATATCTAAAAAATATCCTACAGAAAGTACAACAAACGTTTCAATTTCTTAATTTATAATAATACAATATTTATTTTTTATTTTAAATGTCGTTTTGTTTCTTTGTACATAACTAGACAAAAAAAAAGTTTGTTTGTATATAACGCAATTAATAAGTAAAGATTTAAAAAATTAATAACAATTAGTAATATCTTCTTGCACTAATATGCAAATTGTTACTTATAATTTTTATCTCCAAAAGATAACTTATTAGTGTTTTCTTTTTTTATGATATTCTTCTCGTGCTTAATTAAATAAATAAGTAACACAAAATCATTATTGATACATTTCGATATTAGATGTATTTACTTAGAGTAACAAAAAATACGGTCCATGCTTTCGCGTTTAGTCATCGTTTCATCGGGTAACAACCGTGAGTGCGCGAAGTTTCTTTCCGTACTTAACCCTTTCGTTACTATAAACGAGATATCTCGCCATCACGATATCACTTAATTTGTCATCTGAAAATTTCGAATAAAGAATCAATTTAAGAACATTTTGTTCATATTTTGCCCGTAGCACAGCAATAGAAATTGCGACGCGAGATATCTCGTCATTAACGTCATCTCAAGCGAAATTGTGATGGAAAGATATCTTGTTCTCGGTAACAAAAAGATTAATCAAATGAATAAATAAACAGACTCATTATCGACACATCTCGATATTAGAATTATTTAGTTTGANTAGTAAAACATGCGAGTAATCGTTCGTAATTTGCTAATCAAAATGAAACATACACGTTTTCGCGATCAACCATCATTATTTTTCATCTGCCATTATGAATATGTTATAATACTACCATGATCAAAAAATAACCCGAATTTATTCATAAAAAGAAAAGTACATGTTTATTCTTTAAAATTCAAGTTGTCCCCTTCAAAGTAGTCCCCGTCGGCTGCGATGCATTTGTGCCAGCGTTTAATCCACCCCTCGAAGCTTTTCTGGATGTCGGTTTTTGGTATAGCTATTAAAGCCTCCAGCGATTTTAGCTTGATTGCCTCCACACTTTCAAAACGAGTTCTTCGTAGTGGTTTTTTGAGTCGATCAAATAGGAAGAAGTCACATGGTGCCAGATCAGGTGAATTGAGCGGTTGTTGAATGGTATTGGTGTTGTTTTTGACGAGAAACTCACGAGAATTTTTGCACAAAATTCAGTTCTTTTGGCACCAATCTCGCAGTGACTCGCCTCAGACCCAAATCCTCACGCAAAATGCTTAGAACGAATCCGAATAATATGTTGGTAGTCTCAGCTATTTCTTTTATTGTTAATTTGCGATTTTCGATCAACAAATGTCGGATTTCATCGACGTTTTCATCAGTTTTCGATGTTGATGGCCTCTCAGGACGAGCATCGTCTTCAACAGCCTCACGACCACTTTTAAAGCGTTCATACCACTGGTACACCTGTGTTTTCGATAGAGTATCGTCACTATAACACTTTTGTAACATTTAATTTCATTTTTATAGCAAAATTTAATGCAAGAACGTTATTCAAGTTTTGAATCTATTGTAAAAATCGCCGCGACGTAAAAACTTGATGTAAAAAAATCACTGTCACAAAGGTAAATGAACAGCTGATAAGCAGAAGCTTGGCATGGGTGTCCGTAACAGTGCTGCCAACGTGACACAAACAACAGAATTCTAAACCGATAAGCCCGCGAGGTTTAAATTAAAAATTCCGGTTATTTTTTGATCATGGTAGTATATGCTGTTATGTTAGCTCATCCTGCACTGTTGCTACGGGTAACAACTGTAAGCGCGCGAAGCGCGACGGGCAGTCTTACGCGCGTAAGACAGTCCGATGCATGCTTATTCGCGGATCTTTGTTAATTAAAATGTCAGTAACTATTGCGAATTTAGCAAAATGGTATAGGACTTTTTGATTCAGTTTTACTCCTTCTACCTGCCTACAAGAGATTGTACGGCTATTCTGGGACACCTTGTATATATATATATTATGTTTTAAAACGCACTGCAAAGCGAGACGGGTATAGAAAGTTGCAGAATTGCAATTTCATATCATATGTGTAAAACGCAGTGCAAAGCAAGATAAATATAACTAAGTTGCAAAGTTTTGTGGCAAGAAATAACAATGATAAAGTATACATATATTATTGCGTAATCTAGTTCTATGTCAAGAGGAAATCAGGGTTGGATTAGACAAGTTGTAGAAATAAAGAAATCATTTTTACAAACTAATTTATTTATTTTATACTAATTCTTGTATTATATACTAATTTATAACACAATGTTAGAAGCATAAGTAATATAAAAACAGAAGAAAACAACAATATAGAAAGTATACATATTTAACATGTGTATATTATAAACTATTTTAAATAACAAAGTAGAGAGAGAAGTAAGATATTAAGTAAAAAATGTAATAAAAATATAATAACATATTTAAAACAACTATAACAATAAAAAGTAGCACAGTCTGCCAGTATCTTTGTTCGATTTCTCGTCTGCTTCTTGTATTTCTTTGGATGAATTGTTCTTTGTATAATTTGTTCCGTTAATGACTGTGTTTATGTAATCGCGTCCTTTGCAAACAATCAGAAACGGACAGTATTCAGACTACTTTGCGTGTTGCTTTCAGGGAACATCTTCCGGATTCCAATCTTCTAATTCTCCTTCGCAGTAGTAGCACAACGTCTGATCATCTTTCCTTGTGTAATAAAATCCAGCATTTGCTAAATCTTGTTTTGTTTGTTTTGATGATTTTGGCCATATTTCAAATGTATTGATTCTCGCTTTATAAGTGTCAAATCGTGAATATTTCGGTTTCGACAAGTTTTTATTTAACATTTCAATGTTTTCGGTAACATCATCCTTCTCGTCTGCTTTCTCCATTTTTTTCGGAATTGTGCTAGAATCCACATCAATGGTTATGTTGTCGCAAGATAAGTTTTCAACAAATCGACATCGTCTGGACCACCGTTGATGATCGGCCATTGGATTGTCATTTGTTTCCCATTTGCCTATTTCAAGTTTTCATTCAAAACATTTTACCTTATCTTTTTTGCCTGTGTAATAGAATCCAGCTGCTGCCAGTTTTTTCCGCTTTATCCACGGGCATGGCCAATCTTTAAAGCTGGCTAATCAAAAAGATTTGAATTTATATTCTTCTTGATAGTTCTCCGGAATACAATGTTTAGTCATTCTGACAAATATACAATTCTCTTTTTTATCTTTGTAAACTGATAGTTAGACGCGAACGACGAGCTCTTAAATACTACTGTCTCACCGTTTCTTTCAATTGATCAAAAGATAGCCCCTTCTCCAATAAAATTGATTAATTAGCAAAAAACAAATGTTGCATACTGACATGGAGGTGATATTATTACGCATAGTAATTTTATATTGTAATTTTATATTTTCAAACTACACTTGTTTTTTTAGTGCTTCATCGCGTTGCATATGTCCGCACAATTCTCTCTTTTCTCATAGCACAGTACTGTTTAATGCAAGGGTCGGCAACTGGGCACTGCTCGCGGGCGCCTGCGGGCAACGTAATTGCCCTCGTGCAATAAGTAAACAGAGGAGATAGAAAAAGAGCATTGCTTATAAACTGAAATATGCTGCAACAGGATCGGCATATTTTCAAGTGGTACCTTCATGAAAATTCTTACTTACACAAACTCTCTTTAGTTAAAAGAGAGAAAAAGAAGGAAAGAGAAAGAGCTAGAAAATGAGAGAAAAACATTATTACACAATTTTTTATTATAAAGTATAAATTAAAAGTGCGTAGGTTATTAAATAAAGAAAAGTATATTTTAAATTTATTTAGAAGTGCTACTTAGATATTTATGTTTAAGTATTTGTTGAAATAACATAATGTTATTGATAATCTTATTATTCGAACAAATAAAGCTTATTGAAGCTTGATAAGTTACTAAACTAAGAAATAATTACGGTCATCCGAGCCAATCGCAGGATGTTGTGCGGAAAACTACGTATATATATATATATGCATATATATATTTGTTTGAGTGTAAATTTTTTTAAAAGAGCATCTTCTTTGCTTAAATATCTGGTAGATATTTAAATTTTCTATCACAAAATCCCATTTGCCATAAGATCGGCACCATAATGTCCTTAGTGGATAGAGCAGTTTTACTGTCTGACTCGCAATTCCATCAAAAAAATCTAAACTTTGTGATAAACATTTTATTAGAAAACCATTATCCTTTAGAATTTATTTTTAAGTATAGTAACAAAAGACTTAAAAGCATCCAGATCACATAAAACACAAGACATACCAGACAATGACTTGCTTAAATTTTTTGTTTTACCATTTATATTGGCAAATAATGATAGTCTAAACAATTTCTTCAACAACATTAATTATAGAATAGCATACAAAAACATATCACAACTAAAAAAATATATTAAAACGTACAAAGATCCGATACCTACAAATCAATGTAAAAATGCATGACTTGAACAAAAGCCGAAACGTTTCGATACAAAAACGACACACGAATCGTATTGATTTAAGCAAGTAAGATTCTGCAAGTGGTTTCTATTGGTCCTTTACTACACTCCATTTAAAGAAATTTTTTATTTATGTAATATATGTAATAAGTAGTTATACTAGGCGGATTCTGTACCACTTTTTCAGAAGAAAAAACGACTTTTCCATAAGAAAGACAAAGTCTGTTCTTGTCTAACTAACGGTACTTGAAACGGAGGCAAGAGGAGTAGGAGAGGGACCGCGCGAGAGAGGGGTCATTAAAACCATATTTGTAATATTGAAAGCAGAATCGGAGGACCTGGGCGTTGCAGATGAGATATTATTTGACGTGTTTTATTTATTTCAGGTAAGTGAGCATTATCGTTAATCGGTCGTAACGTGTTCGAACTTGTCGTATGTGTTCAAAGTCGTTTGGAGCGAGCGCGGACGCGTGTGAGCGTGTTTGAACGTGTTCAAGGTTGTTGCGGATGATGACGTTATCGCTAAAATAATATTACCTCTCAATTAGATATTTAAATTGCGCAGTAAAATAATTAATTCTGAGAAAAAACCGCAATTTTCCGGAAGCGGTACGGGTTTAAAAATAAGTAGAGCGCAGTTTGTAACTGCGCGGTAAGATAATAATTAATTAATTCCAAGAAACCAAACTTTCCCGGAAGTGCGTCTTTTCTTATCACCGAAGCAATGAGTCACTTCCGGATTGATGAGTCATTTCCTGCAATAACATTTGTATTAAAAACCGTTACATACTGGATGTAATTTTTCTACGCTCTTCCGATGCGCGCGTAAAAACCCGTTACCTACCGAATGTGGTTTTTCAAAATTGCAATTTCAAATCTAAAGATTTTGAGGAAAGATAAGGAGCGAAATAAAAAGACGCCTCGAGTTCGGGAGCAAGTCACAAGTCATTTTGATCGCGAGCAATCAAGATCGCAAGTCGTAGAGATCGCAAGCCGTATAGATAACAAGTCGTTGTTGTCGTTTTTGAAATGTTTAACGGAGTGGACACAACGTGCATTTTACACCTGTCGGTCAAAGAGTTGAAAAACGTTCTAAAGAAGATTTTTCTAGAAGTGTTCAATAATTATGTGAAGTTTTTGTGGGACCAATTGTCTGAGCATTTGAAGAAAGATCCCGAGGTGCAGCTGTATCGCAGATGTCTCGAGCATTACAATCAATCGGAAGACTACGATCACATTGATGGACCAGCCCCATTAAAAAAATATTGTTGCGCGTGTATTGCGAAAGCCAAGATGCAAAATCAACAATGCATCGGATCAGACAACCAAAATTGTAAACATAAACAATCGCGAATCGCTCGAAGAAGAGACCGCGCTTCTCAACACGTTAAATAGTTCCATCTCGTGGGAGAAACGGTGCGACGATTGTCTAAAGACGCTGAGAGAAGAATGCCGAAGAAAACGCCCGCGACTATACACAGGTGTAATAAATTGGCACATCGCTCAAATTTCGCGACTCGAAAATCTGCGCGCGGTCCTTTGCGAATGATTCGCGCATGTGAATGCGGGTGTCAAGAGTGCGGGACTTGCATGGATCGAAGTCGAGACAGCGCTTACAAATCGTTTGGTGACCGGCATCGTGGTGAACAAGTCGTTTATCAAACCCCGTTGATTTTTCGAAGCCGCTAAAGACACGGTGCTCGCGCGCGTTCGTCGTGCAATTGCGCGGCACGCTAGTGTAAAAGTGAACACAGTGTTCAACGGAAAGGTTGTCACGGGTAAAAAGACGAGTGTGAAATTCTTTAATGCGTGCAATCGTAAACTCTATCACGCGTCGGATCTGCGCGTGTAGTACGATCGAGACGTGATGGATGCAACAATGACCGCTCTAGAGGAGTTCCAGGAACGCGACAGCGGCGTTGGTGTAAATACTGAATCTTAGAGAATGTGAACAATCATAATTTTATGCGCGCGGGATGTCAGGTCCAAATAACGCGTAAGGTTCAGTTCAAACACGCGATAGTGAACGTACAATCGTGGGACAATGCGTGTTCCGCGTGAGCAGTGGTTGCCGCGTTGTATCCAAATGTCAAACACTCTAATCAACCGTCGCAGTATTCCGTGTACGCGAGTGTGTTGAACTTTGATGGAATAGAGTTTTTAATGACATCGCACCAAGTCGCTCGTTTCAAACGCAACAACGTGTCCGTAAACGTGTTTACGGCAGCGGAACAGAGACACGGATACATGCCGCTGCACTTCACGTCAAACAAGAAAGACAAGTATGTGAATCTATTGTATGTTCCCGATCACGATGGACACGTGAGACACTTCAAGTGGATAAAAAATTTATCGCGTTTGGTTAGCTCGCAATTGAGCAAAAAGAAGACAGCAAAGTACATATGCGACCGGTAAGTACGAACAATTGTTGCAACAGTAACAAAAATGTTAAATAAAAAGTGACCTTCTAAATTGTGAGATGGTAAATTCATTAATCAATGTTGTGTGTATTGTAGTTTTATTGCAACACGTACATTGATGTCTACACTACTTCCACACAAGCAAGAAGCTGGCAGAACACATCGTGGACTGTGAACGATTGAATGACAGCGCAGTTGTTCTTTCCGCTGAGGGAAAAAACCGTTTGAGATTTGAGAATTATAACAACAAGAAACGTGTTCCAATGGTGGTACACGCTGACTTAGAGTTCCTATTCAAGAAACAGGACGAAGAGCAGAACGCATCTAGCGCGCACAAGTACCAAAGACACAGTGTGTTCAGCATTGGTTACTACGTGAACTGCGCGCATCAACATCGGATACAGATCCTATAGAGGTCAGAACTGCGTGCAGTGATTTGTGAATCAACTGCACGATCTCGCGAAACGTGCAAAGACCTTGTTTGCAAAAAACGTGTCCATGGCAAATTTTACACCGTTGGAAGTCGAGCGGTTTAGGAACGCCAAATATTGCCACGTGTGCGAACAACCGTTTGAGCAAGATGACAAGAAGGTGCGCGACCATTGTCATCTGAGGAGACACTTCAGAAGCACCCGCGCACTCTGCGTGCAATCTGAATCAAACAGGTCTACGTTGTTTCCATTGTGTTCCACAACTTGTCGGAGTACGACGCGCATTTTATTATCAAAAATGTGACCACCGCTTTTAAGGGTGAAATTACCATGCTGCCCGTGACGAAAGAGATTTACATATCGTTCACAAAACATGTGAGCAGTACTCGAGACAAAGACAAACATAACTGCGTGCAATTTGCGGTTCATCGATTTATACAAATTTCTGAACAGAAGCTTAGAGAAGCTCGCGTCTTATCTTGACAAGAGGGAACTGCGAGTGATTCAAACGGAATTCAGAGATCTCTCCGCCGAGGACTTTGAACTACTCACGCGAAATGTTGTGTTTCCATACGAATATGTGGACAGGATCGACAAACTGTTGGAAACCAGTCTGCCACCGCATGAGACGGTTTACAGTTCGCTCACCGGTGAGATCGTGACAGAGAGCGAGTACGCGCACGCGACAAATGTATGGCGACGACTCAACATCGACAATCTGGTATCATACAGCAACCTGTATCTGAAGACTAACGTACTTTTGCTGGCCGATGTACTTGAAAAGTTTCGTGGCGAGTGCCTCGCGAGTTACGGACTGAATCTCGCATATTACTACACGCTGCCGGGCGTGTTCCGTTTGACCACAGTACGATTC